ACGAATCAAATTACTTCGTTGACTTGCTTTTATCATGGCTTACAACGACTAGAAGAAATGAAATTCCAATGTGTAAATGCTACATATAAAGGCTAGAGACAAATTTTCCGAGGAGAGGTAAAGAGGCCAACGGCAAATTATTTGGGTCCTAGATGACCTCGGCCACCGCATTCTGTGCACATAATATTGCCAGTTCCTCCACAACCTGAACAGTAACGAATTTTATACTTCAGTACATCATATTAGCAGGCATATAAACATAACAGCAAAACCATACTTATAAAACGATCGGACACATGAAACCCAAAGCTTAGTCCAGTTGATCCATACTGTCACATTTTCTAAGTCAATGATCTAACGAATGCGGGGTTTGCATACAATTTGTAATCCCTTACCATATTTCCAGACTTTGATCCTTTGTTTAAAACAATTTAACCCGGAGTTTGATCTAGCTGATTCATGCAGCTACCTTAAAGAGGTGACATCTAACAGGTTTTTGGGGTTCGACTAGAATATCATCGATCTCTTCCCTTATTCCCAAAATTGTGACCTCCATTGTTACAAAAATAAAAATTTCAGGACTGTTCGATTTGCTAATGTAAAATCATAATGTATTTCACCATGAAGCACTGAAAACTTTATTTCATGATATTTGCATAACACGGCAGCAAGCTGGGGAAGCTTTAAGGCAAGAAATGACCTATTAAGAGGAAATGCTCAAAAACACTTTGAATCGTAGTTATTCTAGAAGCATCAATGCAAATCCTAATTTAATCATTTCATCAAGGATTATTCCTATAATAAACAGGATTTAAGGGTTGTATTTAGAGCCACATCCGTTTGTCATGCTGAATCGGGTCCATAGCAATGTCAAATAAGTACACATGTAGGAAATTGACAGCATAAAAATGCATTTAGGAAAATAAAAATCATTGAAGAAGCATGAACTTTACCTAGACAGCGGACTTTGACAATGATACCCTGGCTCTCTAATATCGAGTCTACATATAATCCACACCCAGAGCAAGTGGTGCAAAGGACTGCACCTTTAGCCTGACAACCAGTGCAACGGGCATTATCTCCAACTATTTTTTCAGCCAAAGATACCCCAACTGGTTCTTCAATTCGTTCCTCAGGGATCGGTTTATCATAACAAAATAGTGATTCGAGACTGCTTCTTCGTCTGTGTGCATCCCCCACTGCCTTTGACTCATCCTGTAACATCAAAATTCACCATTTCAAATATACACTCCATAGCCATCTAATTTTGAAGGTGTATCAGAACTGGAATTAGTCAGACAACCCAACTGGACAATTATCTTAACAATACCGGATATCAAAGCAACCACAAGAAAGCAATCTGGTATTGATATTTGATGAGCCTAATGGAGGCACCATGATCAAAACAAAAAAACAAAGCTTTCCAAACAATCGAGGGTTTGTTTGTTTGGTATGATTGCTACTTGCATTTTAATGCCATTCACATTTTATCCTTCGTAAAAGCTTATAGAAAACAGTCTAAATAAAATTCAAAAGTTAATCAAAAATTAACAAAAAATTAAAATGTAACACGATTTCAAATATAGTTCTATACAAAAGTAAAAAAAAAATAACTTTTCTATCCGATTTCTTAACTGTACTTTTGGGTTTTACCTTGGTAATTCAAACTGAGTGTGGGTGTCAAATACATATGATAAAGAGTCGAAGCATAGGTTTTTACTCAAGACATAGAAAACAAGTAGCAAATGCAAGATCCAGACTGTACATAAGTTTATGCAAATTTTCAGTGGCCAGTGTAAGTGTTTCTAAAGGTTAATGAAGATTAAATAAGAGCACCATTATACTTCTTAAAGCTTTTCTTAATGCATACAAATGGATAAATTTAAAGCTCAACACTTTACAAGTAGAACTAGATCAAATAAACAAACCAGACGAGGAAAATATACTACCAAAAAAAAAATCACATATAATAGTAGCAACTTTGAGGATGAAATATTCGCTCGAATAGCAGAAAATGATTGAACATAAAATTAACAAAAAAAGGGGTTCCCTTTACATTATATAATTTCAAAAATAAGAAAATTAAATGAACACGTCGCAGTTAATACGAATATACATAAAAATTACAGAAGAAAAGGGCTAAAATACAGAAATGTAGCTAAACTAACCTCATGAGAAGAAGATGAAGAAACAGGGCCACTGGAACGAACTGCGTATATTTTAGAGATCCAGTTGCATCCACTGGATCCGAAACCATAAGAAATTTTGTTAATTTTTTTCAGTTTCGGTGTTGAATTTATGGGAAATATTATTGGAGATGGAACTCTCATGGCAGACTCCATTATATCAAAATTTCAAACAACTAATAATAATCGAAAAACACACGGTGAATTTCTTTGATGAAAACTGGGGAACTGGAGAAATGGGTTTTCGAAGTAAATTAGAAACCTTTGAAGAGAGCTACGAAGAAATCGAAGAACTGAGGGTTTTCTTGGTGCCTCTCGATGTTAACGATGTTTGGTGGGAAAAGATATTGGATTTATCCGTTTTTCTACATGGGTCGGGTATCGGGTTAGTTATAAAACACAGAAATTTGAGAAAAAATATTTTGTATACAAAGAAAAAACGAGATGATTTATAATTTTTATTAAGATAAAATAATTGTAAAATAATATTTATTTTAAATATTTTTCAATTATTTAATAATAAAATTCACATACGTGAACTCTAAAATCATAAAAGTAGAGAATCAAGGTTTTAAGTGATTGTTGCAGAATTATTGAAGTCACTGTTTAATTTAGTGTAAGTTTATAAAGCGATTGATGTTTTTATTGTTTTTATGAACAATATATTAAACCTCGCTAATTTAACCTTTTTAGTTTTTTAATCAATGCATTAATTAAAGGCAAAAAGACACCCCAATCCCTTATACTTTGAAAAACCCAATATGACCCTCATATTATTTTTTCCCCTCTCAATGTAACTCCAACTCAAAAAAACAAATTCAATGTGATTTTTTAGTGTTAACATAGCGGTCCACAGTACTGATGTGGAAGTCTAATATGACTGATGACATGACAAATGGATTAAATTAGTTTTTGAACTTTGTTTAAGGGCTAAATTATTATTTTTAAATTCAAGGGCTCATTTAATTTTTTTAACAAATAAAATATTTTACATTATAAATATAAAATTATTCAAATATTCAAAAAATTAAATATAAAAACACTAAAAATAAAATTTTGAATTATTAAAAAATTGAATATTCATATTAGAAATATTAAAACTATTACAAAAAGTTTAAATTTCTTTAATATATATAGTAGGTTATAAAATGATAACTTATAAATATAAAAAAGTAAATGTTTTAAAAAATATATATTATACATAATATATATATGAAATATATACATATATCATCAATACATATACAAAGTATTTTTACTGGATTAATCAAGATTTACAAAATTTATATTAGTCAGGATTTATAAATTTGGATTAGTTGAAATTTACTATGTATTCTAATTATTTTATGTCAAAACTTATTATATAATTATCTTTTAAATTAGTCGAGACTTCCAAAAAATAATTAGAAAACATAATAAGTTTCGACTAATCCAAAAATTTTAAGTCTTGACTAATTTAAATTTTGTAATTCTAAATTAATCCAGTAAGAATACTATGTACGAGTGTTGATAATATGTACATGTTATGTATAATATATTTTTAAAAAAAATTTTTAATTTTTTTTAATAATTTATAAGTTATCATTTTATAACGTATGATATATATTCAAAAATTTTAAAATAATTTTAACGAATTTAATATAAATAATTGAATTTTTAATAATTTAATTTCTCTTGTTAGTATTTTTTTATATTTATTTTTTAATATTTGAATGATTTTTATTTATAATTTAATTTAAAAAAATAAGTAAAACCCTTGAACTTTAAAAAAAAAATCAATTTGGCCATTGAACAAAATTATAAAAAAAATCAATTTGGCCCATCTGTCTTGTCATTAGCCATATTGGACTGCCTCATCAGCACTGTGGATCGCCACATTAGCACCGTAACGGCCAACGATGAAAAATGTTGTTTAAAGGGCCACATTGAGTTTGAGTTTTTTGAGTTGGAATGTCACATTGAGAGAAAAAAATAATACGAGGGCAACATTAGAATTTTTTTTAAAGTACTGGGGTTTGGGTTGCTCTTTTGCCTTAATTATATAATCATCAACAGAATACCTTGTAAAGCTCTCGATAATTGAATATAAGATTTTTTTCCCTTTATATTTGGATGTATTATAATTATGGGTCTTTCTATTATATTTCAATTACCATTATTCAAACAAAATATATGGATAGTGGAACACAAGACATTGACCTAAACACAAATCTTGAATGAAGGAGTAGTGTTTTATTTGTGATTGAAATGATGCACCTGAAACGAGTGCCTTTTGTAAGAGACGTTTGCTACCTCCCATCCTTAATTTTGATATTGAATATTGTAGAAATCAATCTTTGGGGAGCATAGCCCTTTCATCAATGTCTATGTTTATCCTTGTTTACATCATATATTGTTTAGAATTATGATGGATACACAATATGGATTTTGATTTAAGCTGTTATAGTAATTTGAATATATCAATATTAAATAAATTCGATAAAATAGAGATCGATTGTTTAGAAACGAGAAACTTGAAAGATGAGAAAGGGATTCATTCAGAAAAAAATGTATTATACATCCAGATTAAAGTTTTAACTATAATTTAGATTTTAAACAGGAAATTAACCCTTTTTGTTAACGTTGTCAACTTGAAAGTAGTGATTATTTTGCAATTTATTAATAACTTCAGTGATTATAACATAGTTTTTAAAATTATAATGACCAAAATAAAACTTTACTAAAACTTGAGTGACCATGAGTGGGTAATTTGTACTTTTCTCAACATAAAATAAAACCCTTGACATTCACTTTCTCTGTGTCAGTGTTTCTCATCCTCTTTCCCGCCACTTACTGCGTTCCTTCTTTGTTTCCAGTTCACTCAGATTACTGAGAGTAACCATTTTTTTTGAAAGATGTTGTGGGTTGACAAATACCGACCCAAAACCCTTGACCGAGTTATGGTTCATGAGGAGATTGCCACGAATCTCAAGAAACTGGTACCCATTATTTCTTCACTTCAAAACTAAGATTTTGTTTAGTTTTGAATGCCTAATTTTTAGTTTTTCCATTTTTTTTAATCGTTTCGGTTTCACGGGTTTTTTTTATAAAAAAAATTATTTGAACAGGTTGCAGAGCAGGATTGCCCTCATTTACTCTTCTATGGACCATCTGGGTCTGGCAAGAAAACCCTAATTATGGCTCTTCTAAGACAGATCTTCGGTCCTTCTGCCGAAAAGGTCTATATTTTTCCATTTGTTTTTTTATTTAATTTTTTCTTCACCCTTTGAGTCGATTCATAATGTTTTTATATATAATTTTTAAGAGCGGGAAATATTTAAGTACGGTGTTAATTAATTTTTATTGCTTCACTTATTTAATTTGGGGGCCTATAAATGTTTTTGTTTTTGAGATTTAAGATGGGTTTTCTTTTTTCAACGAGGTAAGGAAGTTTATTGGATTGTTTTCTACTGGATTTAATTTTATTTATTTATGTTGGTTATTGTTCTTGGAAGGATCATTTTGTTTGTTTGGTTGCAGGTGAAAGTGGAGAATAGGAATTGGAAAATTGATGTAAGTTTCAAATGATGTAATTTTCATATAAAAATTTCACGTAATGGAAATGAAATGTGATGTTCTGCAATGGATAAAATTTTCAATAAAGCATTCATTGTAAGAATAAGAATTTCAAATGATGACTTGCATAAAAGAGCATTGAGATTGAATGTTTCATGTCCTTTATCCATCAAAGCTATCTTGGAAGCATTTTTTCCATCCTTGATGTTTAAGAGACCTTTGTACTTAATTTTAATTTACCATTATTAGCTTTGTGTGCAACAATGGAACTTATTTATTTGTTGAGCATTTTTGAATCATTATTGGTTGAATCAATGTATTCCTTCCTCTATATGTTCTTAACTAGAATCTCCACTTCTTTCATTTTATTTCAGGCTGGAAGTAGAACCATTGAGCTGGAGCTGACCACTTTGTCAAGTGCCAACCATGTGGAGTTGAGTCCGAGTGATGCAGGCTTTCAGGACAGATATATAGTTCAAGAGATAATTAAGGAAATGGCTAAAAATAGACCAATTGACACCAAAGGAAAAAGAGGATATAAAGGTGATTCTCTTTTAGAAGCTTGTCTCATTTAAAATTCAATGTTAACTTATGTCTCCAAACGGCATTGTATATTTATTTTAATTTTTAGTTTTCCAGAATTAACATTCCTTGGCTGTGCCCTTTCGGTTATTATGTCTATTTGGTATTATTCTTGATACTTATTTCAAGTTGATCGGTTTCTGTTTCTCCTTAAAAATTAGAGTAACTGCATATAATTTCACTATTTTACTGACATAGTCTCTTATGAAAGTCAGTGCTGATTCTCAATGAAGTTGACAAGATTTCAAGAGAAGCCCAGCATTCACTTCGAAGAACAATGGAGAAGTACAGTTCTTCTTGCCGTCTAATTTTGTGCTGTAATAGTTCTTCAAAAGTCACTGAGGCAATTCGGTCTCGTTGTCTGAATATTCGAGTAAATGCTCCTTCCGATGAACAGGTCGGCAGAGTTTGCTTTTTGTCTTTTATTATTATTATTATGAATAAATAAATTCCAGGAAATGTTCTTTCAAATCTTTTTCCTCAAACCCTTTTAGGGGGTTTTCCTTCAACTCTGCCCTTAATGATGTTTATATGCATTTTATTTTCATGAAGAATCTATGATCTCTCAATATGTCTTCTTATTGGTGAATTAAACTTTATTTCTTTAAAATTCTCTACGCCAGATCATTAAGGTGTTAGATTTCATTGGAAAGAAAGAAGGATTGCAACTTCCATCTGGTTTTGCAGCCCGCATTGCCGAAAAGTCAAACAGGAGTTTAAGGAGAGCTATATTGTCATTTGAGACTTGCCGTGTTCAACAGTTAAGCTCGGTGTTATCGTTTACAGATTAATACTGCCATTATGCAAATTGGCAAGAAACATCCTTACATATGTTTTATTTTTTTGTACTGTATAGGTACCCTTTCACAAGCACCCAAGCAATTCCACCAATGGATTGGGAGGAATATATATCTGAAATAGCAATTGATATAATGAAGGAGCAAAGCCCTAAAAGGTTCCCACTGCAGTATCTTACTCTATCTTATTATTGCTGCAATAGTTAATCTTTCTTTCAGTTCATTTGGTTAACAAGTTGGTTATGTGATTACTTATGGCTAGTTCCTATAGGAAAGATGTACGAGTAGAATGAGTAGAAGTTAATTGAAATGCAAACTGCCCTTTATTTTATGGTATCTTTTTCTCTGTCTTCTTGAGTTTCTTATTAACCTTTTCTTTGTTCTTTAGGTTGTTTCAGGTTCGAGGAAAGGTGTATGAATTGCTTATTAATTGTATTCCTCCTGAAATGATCCTGAAGGTAATTACGGGCCATTTTCATGTTGCACTCTGATACCTCCTCGAATTAAAGTTTACTTGTTTTCTGTCTCAGAGGCTCCTTCATGAGTTGTTGAAGAAATTGGATGCAGAGCTAAAACACGAGGTGTGCCATTGGGCTGCATATTATGTAAGTTCAACAGTCTATCCTATTCCAGGGAGTAGGTGTAAACATTCTCTGACCAACATTAAGTTGTGGCTGACTGTTAGGTGTTTCATCAAAATAGTAAACTAGCAATTGACCTTGATTCACATCTCTATTCTTTGGCCTTAAAATGAAATTGATTGTTCAGAAACTTACAGATTTCCCTTTATTTTGCAAACCCCCAGATGAAAGATGGAAGGAATAAAGGTCTTAGATCGGTCAAAATCGTACTATCAATCAATTACATTAAAATATATCGAATTCTTTGAGCAGAGTTTTGTGTAAAATGAATTCTTCTTGGATAATTTGAAGATGTCATGCCAATCACTAGCAGATAAAGAACAAGTAGTGAGACCACTGGTAGAAATTTTCAATTAATTGTGGCATTAATGATAATCCTACAGTAATATAGTAAAATATCCACATATGCTGGTGGTGAGTTAAGATATTTTCAGGGTGATAATAAGATCTGATGCTACAATTTACATGCTGCTGGAAGTCGCTAGGCATTCCTCTGCTTAAAATAAAACAGTATTGCTGAACTTAACAATAGCTCTATTTTTTCTGTACTAATAATTCGGTTTGTCAATTTCTTTTTATTTAACAGGAGCATAGGATGCGTCTCGGACAGAAAGCCATCTTTCATATTGAAGGTAACCAAAACTTTCAACTTTTTATTAGATTGAGTTAGCTCATATTATGAAATGACATGTTCTTATTGGGAATATGAAATGTTTGTGAATTGAAGACACATTCCTCCATTTTTTTGAATGAATTTCTTAGTGGATGTTGATTAGTTACCTTAGGGTGGGTTCAGAATGAGATTCAGATTTATGTTAAATGAAGATGGATATGTGGTCATGGAAAGACTCGATTAAGTTTAGAAAGTGTCTTGAGCTAGTGATTATGGATTAATCTTTGGTTAGATGCTAATTCATGCATTCTTTCATTGATATGACCTATATTTATATTATATTGATCATGGAAAGACAATGTCAGTTGTCACTCGTAGTAAAGAAATTTTTATTCCATTGTACTTAATTATGTTACTGTGGCTTTTCATTTTTTTTTTGAAATACCGGTGTCCGGACATGAGTATGACGATATAACCATCCAAATACTTGGAAGAAAAAAAAAACTTAAAAAAAGATAAAGATGCTTGTGCTCGACACGGACTCATATCCGAGTAACATAGGTGCCTAAGCTTTGAAATTATGTGAGTTGGTTGTTTTCATAAAAACAACACGGCCTATTCTGAACCGAGATCTTAGAGAGAACAAGATGTCAATATTTGGCAGACCTAATTAACTGCTAAAATATTCAAATTAATATGTTTCCTTTGTTCTGACATGTTTCTTCTTTCAATGTTTCCAGCTTTTGCTAATCAAATTCATTCATATGTTTTTTGGATCAATTTTGTAGCATTTGTTGCCAAGTTCATGAGCATTTACAAGGCCTTCCTGATTGCAACATTTGGCTGAAGAACGAACAAGCAATCATCTTTTTTTATCTTTAATCGATGGCAAGAATGCTTTGTTTTCCGGATTCTGATTATATGTGTAGTCGGCTTGTCATTTTGTTTTTGAACTATGCATGGTCTGTTAGGGATTCTTGTAATGATTAGTGAACAAAACCATGAATTTCACTTGCAGCAGTCTTTTCTACTTAATGGTACGTTGTATCGGTTGGATAGACTGTTATGCAATTGTATTTTAATTTGTTTTTTTAATTATGAAGGAAGCTCTAAATTTAAAAAAAAATATTTAATAAAAATGGATTGTTTAAATGGTTGGTATGTAATATTAAAGGTTCCCATTTCATCATGTGTAATAGTTTTTAAAATAGAATATATATTGCTTCATAGTCCTTGTGATGCCAAAAGCCTTCAGTACGGTTAATCTTATTCAAATTAATCGACACATTTCATTGCTCTTATTCTTAATAAGCCATTGCCAGCATACAGTAAGGGATTTATTTAGAAGTTCAAACACTAAATCATTCGGATATTCAGATTCGAGTATGAGTGTTATTCTGTGAAAATAACGAACGTTACCATTCTCCTAACTCATCTGTACATGAGTATCTTTCTAGGCAGAAGATAATTCTTGGCCTCAGAGATCAACTTGGTGAAGCTTTTCCCAGTAAAAGATTAAGTGAAATATGTAGAGAAGCTCAGCTGCATCCTGAGTATCACAATCAACTAGTTGTTTTCAATTGTTAAAAATGAAATAAGATATTTCGAGTTCACATAGACAGTCTAAATCACTGCAACAGATGAATCCAACAGCTTGGTAACAAAAATTCAATAGGTAGTACCTGAAAGTCATCGCTAATGGCAGGGGACACGGAGATCTGCAGGTTGGAAAGGAGAGTCGCTTGGAGAAGTGCTCCTGGAATCTCCACGCCACGCGCCCTGAACTTGAGCAGCAAACTGCAAGTTTCACAGCACATCCTCAACAGAAGGTCTCTCTGCCGGGTCCATTAATAGACATCAGACACAAATTTCCATCATCGTTTTTAATGACTGATCTGACCAAGATGTCTGAATAGCTGGATCAGATATGCTTCTTCTAGTTGCATCATCGGTTGCAACAACTGCTTGTAACTGCACAGGATTGTACGACAATGAATTAAGGACCCATTCGAGAGTTTGTTTGTACAGTCAATAAAGGTAACAGGGCTTTCTTTTTAACTAATGCTAGGAAGAACAGTTTTCCCAGCCACTTGGTAGTTTTCGAATAACAGCGCCTAGTGAACACATTCATGATTTCGCATCAACCAATGTGAACCCTACTTCATCTAGAAACAGAAAAATGATGCAGAGAATACATAGAAGCCATCATATCATGGTAGTACAAATTCCCTATGTTGCTTCAACTCTTCATTTTTCTCGTATCTGTCACATATTCGGACATAGATACGGAGATATGACCCTCCAAATATATAGAAAAATATTTTCAAAGACTGAACATACTCGTGCCACACACACGTGTATCTGGCACTCACACATGAATCCAAGTAACAGGAAATTTATACTATCGGGTTCAAACATATTTTATTGTTGTGACGAGAAATGGAAATGGTACTCAACTATTATACCATGGCTAAGACTACGATTTACCTGATTTTTAAGGATTTGAACTTCCTTCCTGGATTTTGATGGCCTCCCCAGAATCATTTCTAGTAAAATAACTCCGAAATCATAGACATCGACCTTATCTTCATGATTTAACCTGTCAAGTAACAAAAACCAAAGGCAACACTTTAGCCGAACATCACACTTTAGATCCTATGTTCGGATATGGGTATGAGTCCAGCAATACATAAATGTGTGTGTATATTTGGAGATCAGACCTCTAGGCCAATCATCTATGTTCAAATGTGTCACAGATGTTGGAGATATAATATCAAATTTAGAAAAAAGATCTATTGTATGAAGAATAAAATTTCAGTATAATCAAAGCAATTACTTCATTTATAGGTAATGTTTCTATGCATGAATTTCACCTTTAAACAAATCATATGCAGATAAATACAGTTAAGATACTTGTTTATGAGAATCTGACAGGCTGTTTATGTATTAAAAAGCTGTTATTTGTACTCAAAATGTGAATGTCAGATAATAGTATGAGTCCGACATGGAAATGTATTTAGAGGGCCTTTGGAGGATCATACTCATACCCATCATAGATATGCATTTGACACGGTACTTTCAAAAATGAAAAACTAAAACATAAGCATCATCAACATCTTAGTTGAACAATCTCTGTTCATTACTGTATATTTTCAGTAGTATTATAAAGCATGTCATTATGAACCTTGAACTGTTACTGAGATCCTTGGGTAGAGCAGAAGTTCTGTGACCTACCTGCGAGAATGAGTAGCGATAATATTATCTCACACCATCAATTTCAAGGAAGCAAAAAGTCCAAAAACATCTGTTAAAATGGAAACAATGTTCTTTATTGTTCATACCTTTCCTGCACTCTCTGCTAACAAGGGCAGATTGTAACTACCAATCTTTTCTACAAGATTCTGGTCCATCAAAACATCGGTTATTTTCAGATTATTCGAGTAAACGCCTGGCACAATCACCGTGTGCAAAAATTGGATGCCCTTTGCAATCCTTATCGCAGAGGATATGCGTTGTGGCCATGTAAGTGATTGTTCGGAATGTCCTTCTGCCAACCAGAATGTCAGTTATGACAGACCACCCAAAGTGAAAAATTAAGGTGACGAAGTAAAAATATTCAGGTTTTTCAGGTTGGATGTCAGGAAAACAAAACTTTAACAGAGAGATTCAGAATTACCAGATATCCAGCTCCTTAGAGTTCCATTTGGTATGTATTCAACGATGAGAAATATCCTGCTGACACTCGAGTCATCCAAGTAGCACTCAAAGCAGTGGCCAAGAGCACTAGCTAAATGGCGGCATCTTAATTTCGAAAACAACTCTACATGGTGCATAAAGCTTTGAGTGCTGTGGCTTTTCTTCATTTTGAGGCATCTAATGGCCAAGAAGGTGCCATCTCTCAGAGGACCCCTATACATCTGAAATCGTAAAAGCAACGAGTTAAATTGTTTTACAAAGGAGTTATAAAAAAGAATGGATTTTATTGAGAAATTTATCGGTTATTTTGGATTTAGAATAATAGGAAAAAAATAGAACTTCATCAGGCTCATAGTTGGAGAAAATCATGGGAGTAAATGTACTGCTGCAAGAAGAATGTATCAGGTGAAAATTAAGCATATCACGTACCTGGCCTTGAGATCCTTCACCCATGAAAGCAGTAGTGTCGAAGTTGTTTGTGGCATCCTCAAGATCTTCTAGTGAAAGCGTTCGATAAGGTGGAAGTCCAAGTGCTCCCAGCTTCATTATTTGTGATATGTACCCTTCAAGTAGCCACAAATCATATTGTTAGATTGGAATCATTGTTGGTAACTACAGAAAGAGATATCGAGAGTAACTTTGATGCTTTCTCTGTAATCAGTCTTGTAGTTGGTTTATTGATCGTCTTATTTGCATTCAATCTCTTAAAAAACATGAAAATGAGACATAGAAGTACTATTCCGCCAATGATTCCTCCAATTACGCCAAATGCAAGACAGACTTCCGAAAGTTTGGACTTCTTACGCTGAGGTAAGATTCCCACAGCTAAGGCTTCATTTCGACAGAAGGCAAGTTGATGTTGGTTTTCATTTCCAGTTGCGAGGCAGTTTCGCCCATAAAGGAAAACTGAGTCTTTAGAATCTGAAAGCAAGTTCGGCAAGTGTCCGGTCAAGAGATTTGAGGACAAATTCACAACTCAAGTGATGCATTGCAAGAAGTATTTTCGAAGAGCTTCCCGGTGAGTTTGTTGTCTGCGATATTCAAGTAATGAAAGGGAGGTATAACAATGACGGCGGAAATGGCCCGATAAATCGATTGTATGACAGGCCTAGCCATTGAAGTTGGTAAAACGAGCTCAATTCAGAAGGAATACCGGACCTAAACCTGTTCTTTCCCAATACAAGGTGGATCAACTTGTTGCCTAGCAGAGGAAGCCGAGGCCCAAATGCATTATCTTCGAGATCAAGCTCTTGAAGATATGTCGAACAGCTGAAATCAGGCAATTCACCTTGGAAGTGATTATGTGAAAGTGCAAGAACTCTAAGATTCTCCAACATGCTAAAAGAATCAGGAAAAGATCCATTAAACAAATTCTTCCTCAAACTCAGAACAGTCAAAATCGGAAATGAACCTAGCCATTCAGACAGCTGACCGGTGAACATGTTTTCATCAAGTATGAGCGTCTGAAGGGTGGTTATAGATGAAAGCTCATTACGGATGGTTCCATATAGTAAATTTGAAGTCATATTAAGTATCTCTAATGACGACAAACGCGAAATTTTACCAGGAAACTGTCCCCATAAACCAAGAGAAACCAACATGAGTACTCTCAAATCGGGAAGCTTAACAAGTGTAGTGACAAAGAAATCCATGGAAAAGCTTCTAGGTAATGAAGGAGTCCCTTTATTTCCAATTATATGCAACTGAGTTATGCTTTCTTCATAGCACACAACAGTTACTTGAGCCGTAGGTTCGGCATTGCAAAAGTCGACGGACCTATTCCAACCACTCAAAATATCAGGATAATTCAAAAGCAACTGAAGTCTTAAAAGGGTACGAGTATGGGAGGATTTTAGTTGTGGTTTGTATACTAGCAATCACTGAAGCTCACATGGACTTGTTGGGAAATAAACAAGTGACGAGTAATTTCTCTATAACCAGATTAATAGAAGCGGAAAAATAATACCCGAAATTGATAACAAAGTTCAGTCAATTTGCTTACGTCTCCGGACTGCTGCAAATATTTTACTAAGAGAAAAAATTTACAGGTGTTTACAAAACACTCACTACTCACAAGAAAACTCTCTAATATTGGGAGAAAGAAATGATTTGGGGATTTTGGGATGATTTTAAAACTAAATGAGTTAGGGTATTTATAGTTGAAGCTTAAGGACTAACTTTAAATATCCTAAAATTCAAGGACTCAATTTTGTAATTATCACTTGACAATTTCAACAATTTAGTGCTGCCCAAATTGTTGAAATCTTCAGCCAACCATGT